CCATCTAATTTGTCTTTAAACGACCAATTTACCGGTTTACAACTTGCACCGATTTCATTAACTCAAGCTTACCACGAACATTTAAGACAATAAATAGTGATCATATGTGGTTCCAAACGATAATATGACCCCAAGATGTATCCCCTAAAATTTCTAGACTTTTCGACACCGGGCCCCGAAACCTCCAAAATTTCTCAAAAAGAGTGGATATTAGTCTTCAATTTTGGAATTTTTTGTCTTTTTTTTCACCTGGAAATAAAAATTGCCGAAATGTTTTTCATGGTCCCTAATACCCATACAATTTGCCTTTAAACAGCCAATTTACCGGTTTACAACTTGCACGGATTTCATTAACTCAAGCCTACTATGAACATTTATTACAACATATAATGATCATATATGGTTCTAAACGGCATTATATGACCCCGAGATGTATCCCCTAAAATATTAAAACTTTTCTACACCGGGCCCAAAACCTCCAAAATTTCTCAAAAAACGTAGAAATTTGCCTCTTAATTTTAAAATTTTTGATTTTTTTCGCTCGGAATTAGAAATTGCCGAAATGTTTACCATGGTCCCTAATAGCCTATGGGAGTCCAATTGGGTGGGTGGAACCATTTAATTTGCCTTTAAACGACCAAATTACCGGTTTACACCTGCACTTATTTCATTAATTCAAGGCTACCACAAACATTTATGATAATAAATATTGATCATATATGGTTCCAAACGGCATTAAATGACTCCGAGATGTATACTCTAGAATTTCAAGACTTTTCGACACCGGGCCTTGAATCCTCGAAAATTTCTTAAAAAGCGTGAATAAGCCTTTAACTTTGAAATTTTTGACTTTTTTTTCGCCCAGAAAGAAAAATTGCCGAAATGTTTACCATTGTCCTTAATACCGTCCGGGAGTCCCATTGTGTGTATTAAAACCATCCAATTTGCCTTTAAACGACGAAATTACCGGGTTACACCTGCACTGATTTTATTAATTCAAGCCTACCACAAACATTTATGACAACAAATAATAATCATATAAGGTTCCAAACGGCATTAAATGACTCCAAGATGTATCCCTTAAAATTTCAAGACTTTTCAACACCGGGCCTTGAATCCTTGAAAATTTCTCAAAAAACGTGGATATTAGCCTTAATTTTGAAACTTTTGACTTTTTTTTTTGCCTGAAAATAAACTTGACGAAATGTTTACCATGGTCCCTAATGCTGTCTGGGAATCTCATTGGGTGGGTGGAACCATCCAATTTGCCTTTAAACGACCAATTTACCGGTTTATAACTTGCACCGATTTCATTAACTTAAGCCTACCACGAACTTTTATGACAACAAATAATGGTCATATATGGTTCCAAACGACATTATATGATCCCGGGGTTTATCCCCTTAAATTTCAAGACTTTTCGACACCGGGCCTCTAAACCTCCAAATTTCTCAAAAATCGTGGATATTAGTCTTCAATTTTGGAATTTTTTGACTTTTTTTTCACCCGGAAATAAAAATTGTCGAAATGTTTTTCATGGTCTCTAATATCCTTTGGGAGTCCAATTGGGTTGGTGGAACCATCCAATTTGTCTTTAAACGGCCAATTTACCAGTTTACAATTTGCACGGATTTCATCAACTCAAGCCTACTACGAACATTTATGACAACATATAATGATCGTATATGGTTCCAAACGGCATTATATGACCTTGAGATGTATCCCCTAAAATATTAATACTTTTCTACACCGGGCCCGAAACCTCTAAAATTTCTCAAAAAGCATGAATATTTGCCTTCAATTTTGAAGTTTTTTGATTTTTTTTTTTTGCGCAGAAATAGAAATTGCCGAAATGTTTACCATGGTCCCTAATAGCCTCAGTGAGTCTAATTAGGTGAGTGGAATCATCCAATTTGCCTTTAAACGACCAAATTACTGGTTTACACCTGCAGTGATTTCATTAATTCAAGCCTTTAATGAACATTTATGACAGCAAATAATGATCATATATGGTTCCAAACGGCATTATATGACCCTGAGATGTATCCCATAGAATTTCAAGACTTATCGACAACGGGCCTCGAAACCCTCAAAATTTCTGAAAAAGCGTGGATATTAGTTTTCAATTTTGTAATTTTTCGACTTTTTTGGCCCGAAAATTAAAATTGCCGAAATGTTTACCATGGTCCCTAATACCCCGTGGGAGTCCAATTGGGTCTGTGGAACATTCAATTTTGCTTTTAAACGGTCAATTTATCGGTTTACAACTTGCACCGATTTACCGGTTTATAACGGCCAATTTAATTAGCTTGCACCGAACTCGACTTGAACCGAAAATTACTTAAATTTGTTTTAACCCGTGAAAACCCGAATTTAACCCAACTTGTTACGAACCAAACCTGAATTCAACCCGACTCGTTCCTAACTCAACCCAATTTTTTAACCCCACTTGTTCCAAACTCGACTCGAAATCAACCCGACTTATTATTGACCTGACCCAAATTCTACCCGACTTGTTATTGACCCGACCCGAATTTTACCATACCTATTACTTATCCAACCCAAAAATTCAACCCGATGTGTTACTAACCCGACTCGAAATTTACACGACTTGTTATTGACATGACTTAAATTCAACCCAAATTGTTCCCGACCCGATTTCAAATCACCTTAAATGTAATTTAGACCACTTTATTATTGTTGAATAAAGCATTTTGTCTTGGGAGACCAAGTCGGTTCAAGCAGCAAAAGAAAGGTGCATCATTATCAAATTTAAGAGTTAAATTTAGTATATATTTGTTGTATGGTCAACGGAGATAATTATCTTCCTAATTTATAGACTATATTCCCTTAGTATATTGCCATATATATTATTGTCAAAGGAAATAATTAGCTTGATAAAAATGATAATTATCTATTGATAGTTAGCTGAACCCGAATATGACCTAACCCGATTATAACCCGCAAATTATTGACTTGAACCCGAGAATGACCCGTTTTGAAAATGATTTATTATAATTCGCAAATAATTGACTTGAACTGAACTCTACTCAAACCCGAGAATGACCCGACCTAATTCTAACCCGCAAATTATTGACTTGAACCGAAACCGACTCGAACCTGAGAATTACCCTAATCCGTTTTAACCTGTGAAAACCCGAATTAAACCTGACCTATTGTTCACCCTACCCGAATGTAACCCGACCTAAACCCGACCCAAACCCGATAAGAAGTATGACCCGACGTGACCCGACTCAAGCATGACCCAACCCAAACCCGACCCGCATAGCTTATGGAATTAATCTGAATTAACCCGACTTGAGTTGACCCGACCCACTCTTACCTGACTCAAACCTGACCCGTTTACCTGAATTAACTGCTCTAGTCAAATTTGCCATTTTCGTACGCACTTACCTTAATCTGTTTAAGGGCGTGTATGACTATAGGATGCATCTCCTACGAATCTTTGATTTTTCAACTCGAAAACCCCAAAATTAGTCTTTTAATTGCCCCGAAAGCGTGGGTAGCCTTTGGACAATTTTGAAGTTTTGATTTCTTGAAAGGAAACAAGTCGGGGTGCTTCCCATAGACTCCAAGACTCCCCGGGAGTCCATTTGGGTGGTTCGGATCGTCCACTTTGCCATTCATCCATTTACAATTTATGTATCTTTCTTTAATTCAGGGGCACCATTATATGGCTGAGTAATAGTAATATATGTTTTCAAACAATATCACATCACTCATGACTTCAATATGCATCCTTCACATTTCTGAAAATTTCCAAATCAATTCCGAGACCTCTAAAATTGATCCAAAAAGTGGATTATAACCTTCAATTTTGGACAATTTTGGACTTTTCGGGATCGGAAAGAAAAATTTCGGAATTCTTCCCATGGAGCCTACGACACGGGAAACCATTTGGATGGTTGAAATTACCTTTAAACAATCGATTTAGCCATTTTCGTACATGCCTCCCTTAATTTACCCAATGCCACCGTTGGGCTTTATGTGACCAACTAGTGGTTACATATGGTTTTAAACAACAGTATATAACCCCAATATGCATCCCTTTAAATTCCCGATATTTTTCGAGACCAAGTCTCAAAACCTCAAAAATTGGTCCAAAAGCATGGAACTTCACTTTTAGATAACTTTGGACTCTTTCGGACCCTCTAAGAAAATTGATCGATTTGGGTGGCCGGAACCATTTACTTTGCCCTTAAACCATCAATTTAGCCATTTTCATGCTAGTCTCCCTGGATTAAACCAAGGTCACCACATGCCTTTATGTAACTGATTTATTGTCATATATGGTTCCAAACAACATTAGATGACCCGAGGATGCATCCCCCCACAATTTCAATATTTTCCGACACCGGGTCTCAAAACCTTCAAAAATTAGTCCCAAAAGCGTGGATTATAGCCTTTAGTTTTGACCATTTTTTTTAAAAAAAAAAAAAAAAAACTTTTTGGATTGCATTGGAAAGAGGTTAGGGTATTTCCCATGGACCCCATGACACCTCGGGAGGCCACTTTGCCTTAAAACCGTCAATTTAGTCATTTTTCGTACACGTACCTTTATTAATTCAAGGCTACCACAGGCCTATATGCGACTGACTTATGTCCGTATATTCAATTTCAAGGGCCGTCTAGGGCGCACCGGACACCACAAAACGTGCGGTGTTGCAGAGGCTTTGTATGTACTAAATCTATGTAGATGATTGATTCAACCCCACTGATATGGGATGAGGCTTTGTTAGGTAGGATAAATGAGTTGCAATGGAAAATTAGATAAGGTGTTGCAGAGGCATGTGTGTTTGCTGCAGTTGCTCATACTTATATAGGTAATTTCATAGTCTATTGTAAGATAACGTTCGGTTTGCGTTCTAGTAACAATGTGTGTGGCTTCCCTTCAACTCTTCAAGCATGGAATCTTAGTTATGGAGGTTTAATATTCTCAACCTTCTACAGCAGTTCTAAGTTCATTTCTCTATAAACAGGCAAATGCTCAAGAGAAATTTTTGAGAATAAAGCATGCATATAATACATTGATCAACTCTGATTCTCGAGATAGATATGATGCTGGCAATCGCAGATCTGACTTTTCGTATTCATCTTCTGGAAGAAGTCAGAGCACCCAAGAAGAGGAAGAATTCTATGGATTTGGTAAATTTTCAATTCATCATAGTGTTCTATAATTACTGATTTATTTTAGTTATCATTTTAGGTGATTATGCATACTCAGGTGATTGTTTCTTTTGATTACTCACCAGACTAAATTGGAAATAAATAATAGGCACTTGTTTTTATGATTGTAGCTATAAAAATTATACCTTATGGACCGACAAAATTCCATTTTGAAATTATTTTCTAGTTGTTTTAACTTTATACAAGTACCTTCAGTCCTTATTAGCTTAGTAATTACGTTGAATAGGCTTTTATCTAGTGTGATATACTGGGAACTCTTACTAAATCTAGTTGACTAAAGTATGTATAATATCTTAGCAAATTCTTGAACATATGACTAGCTGGCTAGCTGCAACAAGCTTGCAGAGAGAAACATATGTGATTCAGCACATTTATAATTCCTTGAAAGATCATGGTAGCGATGCCCTGTTGTCCATCTATGATATATATGGTTATTTGCCCCGATATTGTAAGGGACTACCACCACACCTTTAATGATCTGTCCTGAGTGGTCTAGTGCTGTCATAGGAATGTATTCTTATGCTGAACCATTGCTGTTGCAGGTGAATTTTTGACGGATGTCCAAATTACAGTAGGTAGATTATTTATCTTCTTTGATATATACAAGGCTACAATGATAACTATGTACCATCTCTTCAATACTAGCAACCTAGCTAGCAGAAATTGCTTCTCTTTTACTTTTTTCCTGGAACATGAAATTGTTCAATAAAAGCATAAATTTGCTTCCTCATTGCTGCTCAAGTCTAGTTTTGGGTGTTGCAGGTGATTTCTTTAAAGATCTACAGGAAGAATTTCAAAGCTGGGAAGCAAATGCCTCATCACAAGGGAAGCCAAAGAGCTTATGGGAAGAGTTATCGGTGAGCCAATATTTACACGCTTTTCTCATACTTCAGATTTTGTAAGTTGCAGTTACCAGCTATTTGAGCTAAATGATCTACTACTATCTCTACAGGAAATAGGTGAAGAGTTTGTTGAATTTTTAGAGAAGGAACTTAATATAACCAATGAAGATATTGGTGGTGAGGCACCTAGAGAAGATTCTTTTAAAAGTTCTGGTGCTCAAAGAGCAAGTAATGTTGATAATGGAACAGGAGGAAAAAACAAAAACAGCATTGAAGAGAGTATTGACGACATTGAAGCTGCTCTTGCTCAATTAAAGAAGGAATTAGGCCTATAGCAGTAAAATCACTTGATCTTTTGCTTAAATTTTGGTGTATATTATAACACAAAACTATATCATGATAGTTTCAGCTGGATATACAGTTTCTTCATAGTGAATCTGTAACGTCTTTTAACGAGTGGGTGGATCCATGAATACCATTTTTGTCATGCTTTTAATCGTTTACGAAGATTATGTTATACATAGGAGAACCTATGCTGCAAATGAAGATGCTTCTTTTCAAATATATATAACTTGAATTTGAACAAGAAATCAACATACTAAATGTTCATCAGGACAAGTGTCTTGTTCATTTCATATATGCCATAATAATAGAAATTATCCTTTTGACATCAACGCAGAAAAAATACCCTTTCAATTGAAATATTGAATACTGAACAGTAAAAAACATCAGTTCTTATTTCTGATTTACTTACTACCCACAAGAAATCAACAAACAATCTTTCCTAGAAATCCGCCATTTACCTTCAAAAAACTAATTTGGCCTCTCCATTCTACACAAATCTATCAAAAGCTAAATTAACCTCAAGTTTTATTAAGGCACAATTGGAAACAAAAACTATACTGAGCTCAAAATCTTTCCCCGAACCGGAAGAATATTGCTCCAGTACCAGAATTGTGATCAACAGCATACTCAGCTCGCACAAGACCTAGCTTGACACCAGCTCCATAAGATGAGCCTTGACCCATTCTTCTATAAACTTCAGTAGGATTGCCCTTGAGGTCTTTGGAAGTTCCAAGATCATTTCCGTGTTCTGCAAAGATATACGCATGTGTGTTTTTGATAGGTATCCGCAATTCAGCAGCAAGCTGTGGACAAAAAAAAAAAAAAAAAAAAAAAAAAAAAGAAAATGTTAGCCAACACTAGTATTTCAAGTTATGCATCTCTATCTTAGCACAATAAAACACAACTATCACTTCTCATATGATAGAAGGCCATACATTATATCAAGTTGATATGCGTCTTTCTCATAAATTTCAATAAAGATTCATCTATGTTAATCATGTCATCAATATTTGCCTATTGATACTGTGCTGAGTGCTGCCGAAAATAAAACTGTGAAGAACTGAAGATGACTATAGCTGATTAGAAACTTACCTCAAGAATGCTTCTAGCTGCACCAAGTTCTCCCATGTTGTAACCCCTCACAGAATAGGGTCCTCCAAGGGTAAAAGCATCATAGCTAGGAAGGTCTCCCACACAGCCACCATAATGACCATGAAGGACAAGTACAGGCGGTGGTGGTTTCCCAGCACCTTCTTCTACGTTCTTCAACTGAAGAAACCTAGTTAATGTTAGTTGATGGCGGTTGAAGAGTGGGTTTTTACTGCCTATGCCCAAGCCTTGGTCCACCTGCAATCAAAAGACAATCAAATCAAGTTTAAGTTTTTCTTTGCATATGAAGATTCATACAAGTCTGAAAAATGCACCAATGAAAGTTAAAACAGCATAAGCAATCACGCTGGTTAATAGATGCCCGGCCAATTTTGACTTATTGCCATGAAATCTTGTCACATCTCACAGCACACCACCATACTAGAGCATTGACCTCCCACCCTCTTCCTCCCTTCAAACATTGACTGATTTAAACAACACTTAGTCCAAGAAGCTTTTAAGGAGATTCAAACAAATGCAACTTTACCCCCTGTAGGTTGCTCCCTATGCAAAAGTTTGGCAATTGCTAAAAAGAATTATTTCCGTCAGGAATTAGTTTTTGATTACCATGTAAGTTTATCACTTTTTGCTTTCTCACCCATTAAGTGAGGAAAAAAAGAAGACATTATTGCTTTGACTGTAATTCTTTTTATTAACATATAAATATAAATGTTAATACATAGCATATAAGATGTTAGATTTATCTCAATTTATATTCAGCACATCAGCTTTGTATTTTTTATAGAAGATGATTAGAGATATTAATGGTAGAGTGTGCCAATCAAACTGTTGTATTTAGCCTAGAATGGAGGTAGTACGATAAATTGATACTACATAACAAATTTATCTTAATACCCTAATGGGAGAACACAGAAAGTACTAATTAATTTGTAAAGCTATATCATCAATGACATAAGAGGATTGTACCTCCTTTTCCATTTCGGCTAATGTTTGTTCAAGCTCCTTTTTGGATGTCTCCAAAAAGTTATATATTACCACAATTAGTAACTACTGAGTACCATTTGACATCCTCAACTTAAACCAACTTATTATTGATTGAGAAATTCCAACATATATCTGGTAAATACAGCTAACAAACTACCATATTCATTAAAATATTACTACAGGGTCAGACCTCAGAAAACTCAAACTTCAAACTGGAGTATTCATTACTGCACTAGGCAAGTTTGACATGGGACATTAAACAGAGAGCATATGCTCAACCTCAAGGGTTCATTCACAACCATACATAATTTTCAAATTCACCCCCCCCCCCCGCCCCAAACAAACAAAACAAATCCCCCACCCCTTCATGGCACTGAGCACTTTAGTAGTTTCCAGAATATCATGTTGCTAAACTGATATTGCATTGGAATTTCGTTTTCCAGTACAAGAGGCAATGTTCCTAGGGAGAGAATATGAGATTACAAGAGTGGCAATCATTGTAACCAATCTATACAAACTAGATTTTTTTTTTTTTTTAATTTAGAAAAACTTCAATTGGAATGTGATTTAAGCTACTTAAATTGGAATGTCGCATAGATAATAGGTGAAACCCACAATGTGCAAAAGAGGAAATTATGCTATACCACTTCTGAACAAGGAAAATTCCCGTCTGTTTCTAAGGTGTTCATAGCAATAGTATAGTGTTTCATCTGTCAGTCAATCTTTATGACTATAGAGACTTAAAGGAATCGTAAATTGGGGTACTATGTCTAATACATTCCTGTAACAGCTATATTAATAATAGTGCATTGACAAAGTACAGTGGGAGAAACTGATCAAAAAGGAAGGATAAAAAAGTTACCTGAAACACATTTCTATCACCAACTATAGCTCCATTTACAAACTTTGTGTTATCTCGTGTAATATTTGCTTGTAAGAATGCCACTCGGTCAATACCAGTATCACTTAAAGTTGTTGGGGGTCCATCAGCACTAATTCCACCATTGGGCAACACCCTTTGACCTGCAATGGCAATATGGCTGCTTTCATCTCGTGTTGTTATCTCTTCAACCACAAGCCCATAAGTAAGCTTGCTCTGCCGGGTAAGATTCTGCAAAAGTGACAATAAAAAAGTATAAGTCATAACTAATATGACTATATGAGTGAAAGAAAAAATACAGAGCTAGGCAAGCAAAGTCAAATTCAGAATCAAGTACCAACCTCAGTAATATTAGCTTTCACACCAGACCTATCAACCCAGATAGGAGGAACTTCATCCAGTCCTGGGCCTCCGGTAAACACAGGACTCAGCTTTCTACTATTGAAGCAGCTTGTTCGGAAAGTGCGGTTTTTAGGACTATATACACCATCGATATATGGATGCACATATTCGAACTTGAAAGCAAGATCATCCTGAAAATGTGCTTAGTTAGAACCAGAAGAATAACATCCCCAGGAGGTGAAACACAAAAGAGTGGACTGAACATCTTCATTCCTGAGAATAATACTGATCTTTGAAATAGAATTAGCTATAAATACAGATAATCACTGAACACAGACTAACTAATATGAGCATTAACTAACTGACCAAGGGGATATGAAGGCTAAGGACCATGATGGGAAACATATTAATGGAACAGTCGTGCTTAGAGGGACAAGAGATGAACCACTTTTCAGGTTGCAACTAGTATCACTTGGTGCATTAATTTTTGGTAAGTATAATAAAGAAAACGAATTTTTTTATGACCTGTAATTATAAGTATTATTACCTGCGGGTTGAAGAAGTTACTGGTGGTCACTGAGCCAAGGAATGATCTATTGAGACCTTTGATGTTTCGGTGTTCAAAGGAGACAGTGCCGCCTGGCTGGATAGAAGCCTGGGAGGTTTCAGCAAAGGAAAAATATAAAAAATCAGAACCTTATACAAAATTGATAAGTTTTGGTAGGAAAAGATAATGAAACCTACCAGTGTTGGATGCCCTTGACGTCCAGGAACAATACTCCACTCAGTACTCACTTCAGCGGACTTCTGGTCAAGTTCTTTAAGCTTAATCTCAACAATTATTCCTCCTTCAGATTTTTCGTCAGGACGTGGATTCACTTCAATGTTAGAAAATAAACCCAGAGAGTTTATGTTTCTCAAAGCTTGCTTTCCTGCTTCTATGTTAAAGACATGACCTACTCTAAGCTGCAAGATTGGACACCACAACAAACTAATTAATGCTTAGTATAACACAGAAATACTTTAGATTACAGCATAATCAGCAACTAAGGCCATTTTATCTTGTCATTTCTGATTATATTAGCAGATAACTTAAAAGTAAAAACTAAGCAGCAGGCACCACAATTATCATTAAGTATAGCCATGCATCAAATAGAAAATCTATAACTTCCACAAACTGTGTGCTTAACCTCATATTGATCCTAAATTTTCCGGTACACTTCTATATGTGAAAGTTAACGGTCTAAAAATCCTGCACATACTGCAGAATATGAATATTTTCGTTTCCTTTGTTTTTCAACAGCCATGTATAGTTCTAATAATATTGACAATTTATGAAGTGAATTCTAAGTGTTAACCACGCAAAATAATAGAATAGTTGCCAGTCTCAAATTACATCAAATTGACTTTATAAATGTTTCCAATGCTCATCCAAACTCGAATTTTGACATGTAACACAGCAGTACATGTATTACTGATTACATCTTCATCACCTTTCTTGTTCAGGTGATTAAGGGGTATTACACGTATCAAACTTCTTAGGTATCATTTTAGACCACTGATATGACAGCTTAAGGTACCGCTATAAGATGCTTGTAAATATCAACAAATCTCAAATAATAAATGTTCAAAAGGATTAATAGCTATGGATTTGCAACAAAATATTAAAATGATATTACCTGCTTAGGCAATTCCCTCCAAACAACGGGAAATTGAGTATTCCCTTCAACTACATTTCCAAGTTTATCCTGGAACTGAATTAGCAACTGCGTAATATCCCCTTCAACCACCTCACAAACAACTTCCTTTGTATTCAAATTCCCAAAATTCACCACTTGAGCACAAGCATACCCCTCATCATGGTACCATTTCTGAACCGTATCTCTAATCTTCTGCAGTGACCTTGCAGTCACCTTCCCCTGATCACTCAACATCTTCATCACATCCCGGTAAATTGGGGTGGGCAACAAGCATGGCCGAGCCCGGTCAATCCTCCTCCTATAATCCTTCTCCTGGCTTATAAAGAAATCAAGCTTCTCCTTATCCGTCATATCAGGATCCATCTCCACCGGCTTTGTTTGGGGCATCAACCCCACATTAATGCACCTAAATACCAATAATCACATACATTAAAATCAAGCCAATACCCATATCAATTTCTCTACTCTACTTCCTAAACAAACCAAAATTGAATCAAAACATCCAATTAAAACAATCACATAGTAGTACATTCCAATTATACTGAACAAAAACATGAAAAAAATAAAATCTTAACAGAATTAAGCAAAGAAAAAACCAAAATAAAACCTGAATTTCTCAGCAGATTGCCAGGTACTTTCAAGAAAAGATATAGTAACCTTAATAGAACCATCAGGATTAGTTTTCCCCTCCAAATCAACCCTCTCAAACATTCCACAAGTAGCTAGGGTTTCAAGCTCTTTCTGAAGCTGGGCCTTTGTATAAACACCATTAGGTCTAAGAGAAACCATCTCAAAGAAAGAATCCTCAGTACCAACAGTAGACCGACGTCGTTGATCGAAGAAGAGAATATCAGAAACCTTGTACTTCTTAAACCCACTTAGCTTATTAAGCTGAACAACAATGTTAGCAGGAAGACCATGAGAATCCCAACCCTCGGTCTCCTCGTCTTTGGCGAAAGCAGGGGGAGAGAAGAATTTTGACCACCAAAACCCATCTCCGCCTCCACCTCCCCCACCTCCGCCATTGAAAAAATTGTTACCTCCGCCACTGCCGCCGCCGAGAGCGAAGAGGAGGATGCCGGTGGGAATGGAGATGATGAGGGTTTTGGAGATAATGGGGTGAGAGAGGAGGGATTGAAGGGGGGTAGAATTGGAAGAAGAAGAAGGGTTGTTGTTGGTGGTGTTGTTGGAGGTGGGGTTGTTGTGGGAGGAGAGAGAAGATTTGATGGGGTTGGATTTGGGGAAGGAAGAAGGGAGGTGGGTTTTGGGGCGGCGAGAGGAGGCGGAGTTTGCGGCGGAGGAAGGGTGGGGGGAGATGCGGATGGCGCCGGGGAGAGTGATGGACGCCATTGCGGAATGGGGATAAGGAGAGGCGAGAGAAGGAAGAAGGAGAAATGAGAGAGAAGAAGTGAGGATTTTGTTTTATAAGAAAAAGGGTTTAAGGGGAAGAGGAAACTTGTGTTGGGTTCGGTGTGACGCAGCCTGCAGGTGGATCTCTGGATTCACTTATGTACTTTCTTCGCTCCTTAGTGATATATGTGTACTTTTTCTGTTCTTTAAAGATTGTTTAGGTCATGGGTTTTAATTGGGAATAAGATTACTCTATTTGGCCTATTGTGTGTTTTGAGTCTAAATCTTTTAAACTCATTAATGAATCAAAATTAGTCTATTACGAGCTTACGGAAATGATTAAGGGCCTGTTTCGATTGAGAGAAGGAAATTAAGAACTGAACTGAACTAAAACCCTGAGCGAACCTCAACCCTCACGGTTTTTTTGGTCCGGTATTTGCAAGTCAGACACTTAGAGAGTGAAAGGGGAAGAGTAAGGGATCCCCACCCTCAAAGTGTCTCTAGTGGGGATTGAACCCCCCAACCTCAAGGTTGGAAGGTGACAATCTTACTACTAGACCAAGCTTAGCTTGGCAACTCATTAAATATTGGAGAGAAGATTAATTCTCAATAGAAGGGACGATAAAATTAGAGACTTAAATTTGATAAATAAAAGCCAAGATGTTGTTCCTTCTAGCTTGATGATACATTTTTGTCAAGCATATACTTACTTCTTATGATGTGTATGATTGTATGTGTGTTTTCTAGTTAAATAATGTTTGGTGTTTAATGCTTCTAAATATTTGCATTTTATACGAAACAGTTTGCAAGTTTAATTTGTCATTGATATTTAGTTTGATTTCTAATAATATAATTTGGTCACAATTATTTTGTTTAATTTTGATGATTACAATTTGAAAGGAAGTGTGTTTAATTATTGGTGATTTCTATTATGTTCAATATTATGACTTTATTAACAACTAGCCTTTTGTAGCTCATTTTATTTTTCTTAAAATGTGTTGCTTATTTGTGTTGTATGTGTCGGTGATTTTTTGTAATAAATTGCTTAATTTTCTTACTTGTAATTTGCAAGTTAGGAATACATAAAGATTTTAACATTAAATAATTTGTTATTTTAACTTTTACATTAAAAGGGGTATAGAGAGGAGTACAATTTTTTTTATAGTGAAAATAGAACACTCCATTTTCTTACTCAAATTTGCAAGTTCGGAATGCATAAAGACTTTAGCATTCAATAACATTTTACTTTATCTTTTACTTTGAAAGGGAGTATAAAGAGGAAATATTAATGGATGTGTTATGTGGCATATAGGTGAATTATGATGACATGTGTCATATAGATGATTGTGGTTTGTCTTTTTAAATACTAAGTATAGATATAGATGTTAAAGCATTGTTTTGTATTCGACCTATAATATCCATTTATGATTTAATTGTTAAGCTTCAATTTCTACTTTATGTGATTATATATTTATTCCAATAAAAGAGTTTCTTGCAAAATATGAGGGGAAAAAATGATAAAGAAAGAAAACACTCCATTTTTCACAATGATTGAGGCTGATGTTTAGGAAGATGTTAAGGAAGTTAGTTATAAAAACTAATCAACTTATCACTTGAACATTGATAGTTTGCCAAGTGGCTAACTAGAAGAGAGTGCTTCCTCAACCATATGTTTGTAACTGTCTTGCTGAGCTAAGACATCTTTAACCAAATATTACACCATTTTTCTTACATTATCAACTTTAATTGTAGTCTTTGAATTGATTAACCAGTTTATTCAATTCTCAAATTATGGCTGAAATGGATGTCAAGACTATTGAACAACTACTTCATCATCGTATGTTACATCAACTGTTATATCCTTAATTGCTCTTTTAGTTTTATACTTTTATTTTGTTTTATTATGTTGTTATTGTTAGTTATGTAACATAAATATTTTGAATAATTATGTGTGCACGCAGCTGATCAGAATCCAACATCCGATGGGAATACATTGTCGACGGTAGGAAGGGCTCATGACCAAGAAGACGACCACTTACACCGTGGAAAGAAATTATCTGTTCTTGGCAAAGTAAAAGAGAAGGCTAAGAAATGGCGACAAACTCTAATTAGAAAGAAATCAGGACATGATGATGATGGTAATCGTACACCTTCATGGGGTGTTGCCTTGGAAGATTATGTAGATGAAGATGAACATGATCACAATATTGGATCTCTAGGTACTGTAACTCAAACCTTGATTTGGACTAATTAATTCTGCTCAATATTTATACGGCGAAAAGGAAGCAAGGCCAAACTGTTATTGTATTTTAGTCCATCTTTAGTCTCTAGGATCAAATTGGATGTCTCAATGTCTTGACATCAAACTGTTATTTTTTAAAAAACTTGAATATAAATTTAAATTGCTTAGTTGAAGGATATGTAAATTTTAAAGATACAATTAGATTATGTTTCAATGATTCTTTTAATAAGCTATTTTTTCCTTTAGCTTATGAATCCAATTGCGAACCCAAGAGTTCTAAAGAAGTTACCAAACATGAAAGAGCAAATCCATTGGCATCCGAGAAGCAAATTTACAACAACAATGCCAAAAGACAAATTGATAATGAGGTGAAACAAAAGCTTCCTACTTTAAGATTCAGGACTGTTAGACCTACTTTGGGTAAAAGTTATTCAGATAATGCAGTAGGAAATCCTTCTATATCAGACGATTCAATCAATGAAGCTCCTCGAGCCCAAAGCTTGGGCAATCATTTACGAGAAAAACACCCTAGTCCAAGTAAATTCACACTCGATACACTAATTGCTCAAAGGAAATCTAATAAGCAAAAAGAGAAATTACCTCATCATGAAGAATTATTGACAGAAGAAGCTGTTGTTGACGAATCTTCTGAAACTCAAAATGTGATTGAAGAAAGCACTTGTGAGGGGAAAAGAACTAAAACTGAAGGCGATGATGATAAAATCAATGCCACAAGAGAGCAAGAGCAGGAATCTCCAATCACAAAGAAGACCGAGTCTTATGCTAATGCTACAGAAGCAATCCACGACATCAACAACACCAGTTCTTCGAATACCCAACAATTGCCAATGGGAAGTCCTCAAAGCATTAGAGAAGAGCAAAAATGGGACAAAGGTGTTTCATTAAAAGAGTACTTTAAAAATAAATTAGAGCCTGGTGAAGATGAAAAGGTGCTATCTCAAGTGATTACAGAGGTAATTAGTCCTAGGAGGAGTCCTACTGAAAAGGGTGTTGTAGAGAAAGTAAAAACAGCTGTGTCTATGTTACTTCAGAGTGAAGAGCCATCTTCCCCTTCATCAATGAAGACTTCGCGATCATCCTCTTTGATCCCGGTGTCCATCAATGCTCATGAAGGTATCCTTTATCCTACACAAGATTTTCCTTTGCTTCAATTTTTATATTTCCACCAATTTAATTTTTCAATACATGTAACAAGTTGAGTTTTATTACTTACGATGATATCATATATGGCTGGTACATGCTTTTAGTCTATTACTCTGCAGTTGAGGAAGAAGGCCAAGAAGGTGGTATGCAAGCAAACTAAAAGTGCAAAATTACAAGTTGAGGTTCATGCCTGCCTGGACGTGTTCATCATCACAGGCCAATATTGGATCATAGTTAACATACATGTTCCATGGGCCTTTTTTTTTTTTAGCTAGCAACCCAATCATCTTGTATTCTTGTGGAGTTGTGGCCTGTGGCTGTTATACAGACATGAGAGTGAGAGGTCCCATTTCACAATTATACTAAATTAATGGAACCTTTTTTTTTAAAAAAAAAATAATATTTTTTTTAAAGGTTTAAGGACTATTCCTTTTATATTTGATCAATAGTTTTGAGATTTATAGATTGATAATTTCAATTAGAGGTGATTAATAGACGGGCCGTGCCGAAGCCAAAAAATAAGCCCACTTCTCGGGCTGGGATTTTTGTGCTCAAACCCGCCCAAAATGGTCGAATCGTGCGGGTTTTTTGGGCCATTTTCAGTCTGGGCCTAAAAAATTAACTAAATATGCATAAAATGCATTTCCATACCTGTCCTAAAAAAAATTCCAACCTGATTCTGGGCCGAAAAACCTGCCCAAAATCGGGCCAGGCCGGACTAACTTTGATCACCTCTAATTTGAATTTATATTGCATTGGCAATAATAATTATTAAAGTAATGTCGGTTAAAGTTTAGTCACAAATTGTCTTCATGTATGTATATTTTTACTGCATTTACCTCCTTTTGTTGCACTAATTAATGGTGATACTTGTATTTTTTTCACAATGCAACACTTTAATTTGGTAATATGCGGGTCAAATGATGCACTTGTAACTTGTAAGCATTGTTAAACATGAAACTCCAATTGCAATAACATTCAAGAATGAAAAAAGTACTACCTTTGTGTAAAGGTACTATTGTAAATTTGCAATTGAAAGGTTTGGAAATTACGATCATCATGAATTTGACAATCACAAATTCTTATACGTGGCTGGCCACATCGTGTGACCAACTATCATTGAGATTACTTCGTTAGTGTTATAAGGGTTATTCGATCAGCGTTAAGTGATTATTGGATCAGTGTTACACGGTGTAGCTAGTCGCACACAAGACTCGATAAATCAAAACATAGGACATATAATTAGCCCTTGTTCTTTTGAGCTTCTGGGCAGAGCAAATTGAAGCAGAGCAGGGCAGAGCAGAGCAGATTGAAGCAGCTATTTTGAAGTACTATTTTTAAGCAGAGCAGAGCAGAACATAGCAGATTTCAGCAAAACAGAGCAGAGCAGAACAGATTTCAGCAGAGCAAACAAATAATTTTTTGAAAATAGAAGGCAATAGCTAGCATACTTGCACACGACTTCCACGAGTATCATTCATCCCAAAAAAAGCATTTTAACTTCAACGTTAGCCGCATCCTTTTGTTACTTTCACGAAAATTAGCCGATTGAATACCAAGCAAAACCCTAATTGACCAACAAAAAAAATAAAAATCAAGAAATGTCAGACAATTCAACTCGCAAATCCTTAATCTCTGTCCAATTTACTTCAGTAATCTACTGATTATCGCGGTATTCATCGTATCACAGTTGAATTATTGTTCAAATAATTCATAA